CATCAGAACTGCAGCATGCAGGGCTTCCTTGTTTTCTTCTGGATCTGTGGCTCAGTCCCGCCCCCGTCCTTTTTTTGTCCAATGGGCGCAATGATCGTCACACTCGTGGCTTTGTTTACAAGTTATAGTTCATTTGCAAAAAAGCACAATGTGAATGCAAACCGCACCAAACGAAAAAAAAAGTCCATTTTTGTTCCGGACCAAACAATTGGACCAAAGGACTTTCCTGGTCTGAATACACCCTAAGATAACTACACTCAATCATTTGAAGACTTTCGTCATAATCGAGACTAACCTCATTAATTCCCGTGTTGGGCCTCCATAGTCTTCAGCTCTCTCTCCGACAAACTCCACTTGTGGTCRTTTGTGCCAGTCAAAATAATCCTTACGTAGAGCACTAATGGCACTGTGAAAGATACGTGTTCTTCTGGCCACAACAATCAAACTCCTGTCTTGGTCAATATGTTGTTCTCTGAATTCCTCCAATAAGGTGGCCAGGGACATCTCCTTAAGAGCAAAAAAAATCATGTTGGTATTTTAATAAACTCATTGAATTTCCTTGATTAAAACACAGATGCCTTAAGTTCATGTTTATAGATGAGCAAAAACAACCAATACATGTGCTACAGGAGCTGTGATCACTAACACTGAACTTTGACAGCAACTCACAGTTTCGTGAGTGATGGGCTGCTGCGGAGGTGACAGCATTTCTTCTTCCTCACTGCCACTGTCCTGAAAAATGTCACTGCTCAAATATACACAAGAAACAATAAATATTATAGAAATACATATCACAGGATTTACATTTTTAAAAAAACACTCAAAGCTAGATTTCCAATGTACAAAGCACAATCATAACCCAATTCTGCAAGTAACATTGAAATTACCATTTCTGAGAAAAACATTTTCAATACAACTGAGAAATACCTTCTACTTTAAACAAATCATTTCTGTAATTCTTCAACTTACAACTTACAGCAAAACAAGTGACAAATCTGGGGTTAAAATGAAATACTGACCACATGATATGCATTTTATTTAGGAATAAATAAGAAGAAATCAAATGCATCTCAGAGATGGCGGCTGATGATCTCCTGATCCAGATCTTGGAATCGTTCGATCTGTACCCTATAAAACACACAGAAAACATGTTGAATGTACCTATGACTACCTGACTGACTTGTAATTATCATATTTGGTTAGTACTAGGACCAGAGGTGTCAACTGACCAAATATAAATACTTCGCTACAACACTGAAGTGCAAGATTTTGTCATCATATATTTATCATTTTTGTTTAATCTTTAAAATTAAACTTATAAACCTTCAATTATCATGCAATCATCTGTATTTATACTCATATTTTGCAAATAACCCTACTCATGTCATTAAAAGTAGAAGAAGAAATAGTGTAGTAATCTTAATTGATATACATATGCCCCCTTAACACCTGTGACACCTTGTGATCAAATACAAAAAGAAAAAAAGGTAAGTGCAACAAATAAAGAAATAAAAGAAAACACCAGATAGTCCTGTAGAGAGAGAGAGAGAGAGAGAGAGAGAGAGAGAGAGAGAGAGAGAGAGAGAGTAATATTAAGTAATATTAATTAGAATAAATCAGCATCAATAAATGACTGTTGAACAGCAACAAAAAAATATAAATTTTCAGGTAACACTGCAGCCGTTGTATTCATATTTATCTTCAGGTTTACTGAGGTATTTTTCCTGAGGGATTGATGAGCGGTGTGCCGGTTGGGGGAGCTACTCACTCTTGTCAATGATTATAGGATGTACAGGTGCTGGTCATAAAATTAGAATATCATGAAAAAGTAGATTTATTTCAGTAATTCCATTTAAAAAGTGAAACTTGTATATTATATTCATACATTACATACAAAGTCATATATTTCAAATGTTTATTT